TATATATATAGTATTTAAAAAATTGTAACATAGGATAAAAATTTAAATAAAAATCGGTTTTGAAATTAAATCGAAAAGTCGATTAGCCTTGGGTAGGCAATAATTACTCTAGAGTAAGTGGATAACGATCCGCTAATTCATACTTGGTTCTTGTAAAGAACGAAAGGTCAGGTGACTTAAAACTCTCCTCAAGCGCGGATCTACGGCAGCCCCGCTGCAGACACGATGTTGCAAAGAAGTGAAAAGGAGCATACTCGTTTTTCGTGTCGTCCACTTCTGCCTGGTTAAAACCATCAACCAGAACAATTGGCGCCTCCATCTCTTCGACCTTACTCTTGACCGACTTGGAAGTTACTTGTCACGGTATGACAAGCACCTTCTTCCTTTTGATGCACGCCAGGTAAAATGCAATAACCATGAGAAAGCAGGACGTTTCGACTCCCGGTGAGCCTACTATCACAATAAATACGATGTTTGTTTCCATACTATGTGTACATGTTGATTATTCACAACCGTAAAGCTCGGTTTAAGGTAATCTCAAAAATTATGGGCAGCGTAACAAAGTCCATGTTTATGACATCGCTTTAAATGCAAGATCAAGTTTGGGTCGTCTCTACGAAAATGGTCCATCTGAAAAATAAGACTTTCACTGCATGACACTGTAACGTTCATGATCTTCAAGTGATTCCAGATTTCTAGCGCTTCCCATATATCTTGAAAGATTTAGTCATATGGTTGGTAGTTTTTGGAATACTCAAGAAATAGTAGAAAGTGTGCAGTCGTCTCAAATACTAGGCAGAAAACAGGTGGTACATACATATCGCCGTCGTCTTACTGTTTTACATGAAAAACTTATACTTGCTAGCGCTTAATTTCGATAATGAGGCGCCAGGAGCTCGAAAACAACCCTATAATACTTATTGTGGTAGTCTTTTGACACAACGTGATCGCCTGCATGTCTAACACATAGCGGATTGTAAGGATGAGATAAGAGGCCATCACGGCTTAAAGTCAATCAACACTATCTAAAAAAAGGAAATTATACAATTGCGTGGATCTCCCCCTTCACGTTTCTTCCGGTAAGGTGCAGACAAAAAAATTTTAATTGAAGTCCATTCTCATTTTAGTACATGATAACTCAAACACAATATAGCTTTCTTGCACAAAAGTACTGGTTTCTTGAAAAGTACCGGTTTTAAAAAATGAGGCCTTGCATTATTTGGGAAAAAGTCCCTACCTGTATTACCTGTATGCCAATGTTTAGATGAATAGCTTACGTGTCTTCAACACCACAATAGCTCTGACAATAATAGAAAAGGCGTTGGATAAGACGCAAGAGATTTTAATCCCGATACCTCTCACAAATGGCTTTCAGGATTAGGCATTTCAGGATTAGGCATTTCAGAAAGATGAGCTGACATGGCTCATTCACGAACATTTAGTATGCTCTCAACATATGTTTCTTTACGACGTGAAGGAAAGATGCAGTCAGGCACGACAGCTTCTGTGTTGTGTGGATGTGAAAGAGAGATATGGCGAGGATGTGACAACGTCTTGATGGCGGTTGACATTTTGCTGCTTGTGTTTGATGCGCTGTTCATTGAATGAAAAAGAAGACGTGTGCTCTAAGTCAGTCAAAACGATGCCATCGTCAAATGCTCGTCGACAAGCCAACCGTGCAAGATGCTCTATACCTGAATGCGGAAAGTTTGCACAAACTCGTAAACTATGTAAAGCCCACGGTGGTGGCTCTCGTTGTCACCATCCTAACTGCCGAAAGCTTGCTCAAAGCCGAGGTCTGTGTATTGCGCATGGAGGTGGCCGTCGATGTGCGTTTGACAATTGCTCCAAGCTTGCCCAGTCCAAAGGCTATTGTATTTCACATGGCGGTGGCCGCCGTTGTCATGTCATCGACTGCGATAAGTTCGCGCAAATTCGCGGTTATTGCAAGTCGCACTCGAAATTTGTTGAATTGGGCTCTGGATCATGGTCTCCGGTGTCGATTACTGGATCAACAACGGACAGTTTTCTTATGAAACGCACGATCTTGCCGAACAACTCGAAGATTTCGATAGACTTTCTTATCAACCCATGCAGCATGACTTTCGACTACAAGGAAGTAGTGCCATCATGTCTACATGTGACCAATTCTGGTTTGGCCCACCAACGCTCGCTTTTATCTTACCTCGATACAACGAAGACATTAATAGCAAAACAGACTCGAACCTAAGTGACAACGATTACGCAGTACCAATTATAATCTCCATGCGTAACAAACTAGAACGTCTAACATTTTTTTGAAACAAGATATGCATTATGCATTTTCTTTCGAGCAATTACCAGAATCGTTATTGTGATCGTTCACTTCTAAGGCCTTTAAAATCTCCTGCCGAAACGTCACTTAATCTATCGTTGATAAACGCATGCTGTGGACTTGCAATTAGAAATACGGATGCAAGATAATTGAAACGTATGTAAGCGATATCGTGATTCTCGTGGATGGCACAAACCTTGAAGATGGGGATAAAGCACACAAGACCATCACAAGTTTTGGCCAATGCAATCTCGCACCGAAATTCTCTCGTTCACACTATCGTCTCTGTACATCGAGAGACTCTTCTACCATGTCTTTTCTGTTATCCTGGTACCATTTCCTTTAATCATAAGTAGGCCATGAGGCTTCTCCATTTTCGGAAGAGGCAAATCTCTCGCCTTTCTAATTATTAATGTCATTGAATGCCTTTCACATTTCCTGGTATCAGATTATAATATTCTTGCTTGCGATATTTACGTCAGTTTTACGGCCTTGATAGCACATGTATTTCTTATTATCCACTTGGATATGACTTTGAAAACATAACTTCGTAACTTTTTTTAAGAAAAGGATAAAATTACGTCAGAATTGTATTTATTTTATGTAAAATATAGTCTGTTTGATTCGTAAGCACCGCCACAAGGTCTTAAGGACTTGCGCACTCAACTGCAGAAAGGAAGACCTATGCGATATCGCATATTGCAGACAAAACTCCCGAGTCAGCTAAGCTGAAGCCAAAGGTCTCACTGTTTTCCTGGTTCCCTTCGCTTTCAATCATGTGCCGATTAGCCGAATCGATTTATAAATAGGTGAAGTCATTGGGCGATTTGTGGTTTACTACATGAGTCTTCGGAGTACCAGCACTTTTCAAGGTTCGTTTAGAAGATTACATATGATATTTCTCAGGCTTTAATAAACAATTTTTCTTACGCTGAAACACTCCTCAAAATAGGAATGTTAAAATCTGTGACTGTTCATATCGATTTGTGGATGAAAAGGAAAACATCTGGATGACCGACCTAACGATCCAGCGACAATTCCAACCGGAGATGTCTGATAGTCCAGTACTTGTGAAAAAATTCGGAACGAAAAATTGCGCGATTCCTTACCCTACAGTGTGGCTGTAAGGACTTTTGTCAATGCTACCCTACAGTGAGGTTGTAAGGGTTTTTGACTATGCTACCCTACCCATTAGTGATTATTCGCGTTCTAAAGATGATGAGACTATCTTGATCAACAAAATTCATGGGTGAAAACTCAATGAAAACACTAGTAGTAATACTTAGACGGAAGTTTTTTTCCTTACCGTAATGTACGACTGAGATCACTCCTGAAACCTTCTTTTGGGACAGCAGCGATTTCGACGGCACAACCCCTCGACCACCTTAGAGCGGGAGCCACGTCGTTTAAAACCGCTCAACGTTCAAACGATGTAATAATTGCCTGCGCAACGTGGCGGCTCATCATTTGTCGAAAATCTATGTCACACATCTACTATGTCCGCTTAAGTACGACAGAAACTCAATCTGCCGGATCTCGGAAAGATAGTGAAGCTTTTCTATGCGAAAGTCGGCGTGGCGGACAGCGCGTTCGAGGTGAAGATCGACGATGCTGCATCCGTTTCAGCGCTGAAGGACACAATCGCGGAAAAGCAGAAGTTCGACTTTCTTCTGCAGTTGAGTGCGCAAGTCCTTAAGACCTTGTGGCGGTGCTTACGAATCAAACAGACTATATTTTACATAAAATAAATACAATTCTGACGTAACTTTATCCTTTTCTAAAAAAAAATTTACGAAGTTATGTTTTCAAAGTCATATCCAAGTGGATGATAAGAAATACATGTACTATCAAGGCCGTAAAACTGACGTAAATATCGCAAGCAAGAATATTATAATCTGATAC